AGCCTTCCTTGTGTGTATGAAATGGAGGGCTAAACCAAGGCTTTCCAGTCTCAAAGTGCCGTGAGTAATCTGTCATTTTAAATGACAGAGGAACTACGCTTGTTTCATTCATGGCAACTGCTGTTATCCCTTTAGATGGTTTATCATTTAAGGAGCACTCTTTTTTAAAGCGAGCTTCTATTGATGGATTAGAAAATGTAATGGCTCTTTCATTTGTAACTGGTACGTGCTTACTAAGTTGATCACATGTCTCCAATTTTTTTGGGCAACTCTTTTTGACATGTTCCTGTAGCTGACGGAGTTCACCAGTCCACAGGCAACCAGTCTTTGAAAAAAAGCAACGTACTTTTAAACTAAGGTACATACGAGTGAAGAATTTATCTTCTATAGCATTGAAATTATCATTACGGCAGATTGGGCACGTAGTATCCGTATTTTTCAATCGGTCGGCACATTCAAAGCAAATGTGATTGCCACAGCATGTTGTCTGACAAACCTCATCTCGAAAAGTTTCAAGACATATTGGACAGTTGCAGTCATAAGGAGGTTGCTCAATAAACTCAATTTCATGATCTTCTTCCATTCTACAAAAATAATAGAATAAAATGAGTACATAGGTTTAATCTAAACAATTTCAAGTACAGCATCATGATCATCCTCTAGCAGCATGCAATTCTTAGAGAAATGGCAAGGCAGTGTTGCTGCCCTTGATCTTGAGGCCTCCTTGCCATTAGTACATGTAATTAATATCATGGGTGACCCACTACAATAACATTTATAGTTCCTATTAGTGGCAGTCCTGTGCAGGTGTGCAATGATGCAGTATATTAATTGAAATAACCTATAGTAATGAACCGGAATTGTGTGGGCAGGTAAAGGGAAACTATGAATCTGGCTTTATCATGAAGATAGCAATGATATTCATTAGAAAGTAGTAAATATACTCCCCAGGAATGACTGATATTTGTATTAACTGCAGTTCACATCATAATACAGTTATGTATCATAATAATACATATACATAATACAGTTCACATCATAATACATATAATACAGTTATGTATTATACATAGCCTGCGCAGTTCATACTTCCTTCAAAGTAAAGTATGAATACCATTATCATGATTAAATGTAGGTGTAGAAATCTTCACCCACACAAGTACCATTTCCGTTGGTTGGCAGAAAGCTACATCAAAGGAATGGAGATGGGAGGAAAATTTCCAAAATTAAGAAAAAAGAAGTCGTTTATAGCAGTAAAGAGGTTCCTCACTGATTCATTGGTGTCTATAGCAGAAGTAGCAGCTCTAACTTGAAGCATAGATATAAGAACTGCTCATTGGCTTTTTCATGCTTTTCTTTCATTCGTTTGTACTGCATTCTGCCAACCAGGGGAGTGGCTTTAGTTAGGTAGCTCTACCTGACTGTGGCTTTAGGCCTTTGATCTCGAGGCGAGAGGTAACGCGCAGGTTATGTATAGGGATTTTCATGTGTAAGAATAAAATACATTCCCAGCTAGCATTGCCATCCTGTTGTTATTCCCAGAACATAATACCATCTAATACTCATGTAGAGTTGTAGACTAATACTCATGCAAAAAAATGATGGTTGTAAGGATCACACCCAAAAACTAGACAGCCCCAAAACCAGAAACAAAACTCTGTGTCAGTGAGCTAAGCTAGCTAGCAGCCTCACCTGAAATGACGAGTGCAAGACACTAACAGAACAACGAAACATCAGCTAAAACCATAGATAGGAACCCAAGACACTCTGGCATCGAGAATTCCGAGGAAAACTGAACTCCTCGGGCTTGCTTGCAATCGTTAAAGCTTGAGAAATACCAACCCCACCCATATTGGGAGGGGCTAATAATCCTCATACACGACTCACGTGCCCCATGCTGATCCACGTGTACTTTAATGGCCGTATGCTGGTACAGTAAAGACTCGAGTAAAGATGAGATATGGCCAGGTAGTGATGGGTCCTGCTGGTTGCGGGAAGGTAAGACTCTCTCATTTCAGTTGGAGATAAAAAAATTTAGTACTGTTTACTGTCCCCTACACGTACCTCACAGTACTTGTCAATCATTAGTATTCAGGACCTATCCTGGAAAATACATTTATTTACCAGTAAATGGGGTTTGGTAGTTGGGGTTTGAGTATTGCAAACTGATCCAAAACTTAGAACTATGAGCTTTTAGACCCACTCAGTATTTATAGGTTGGTGAGTCTAAATTCTAATGTTTAAAACTTTGCTTACCATAGCCACCCGTGTCCCATTGCATTTAATACCGTATAGCTGAAAACTTTCAGTCTTAATAACTTTTGCTGTTTTCACAGTTTTGTCAGATATGTGAAATTAAAATCTGCGTAAATCTAGGTAAATGTAATACAGTATAAGATGACGGGATGCTTTTGATTTGCAAAAATTAAATCCACAAATTTGGGCTGATTTGCGAAAGTTTAACCCCTCGAAAGCTACTGGCTATATGGTAACTGTTAGCAAGAAGTGGCAAAGTGGTGGTTTTGCTGCCTATCTTCTGATTGTAAGGTTTCTTTGATTACAAGGCCTTTGTTATGTTAAGTGAGCTTGCTTCATGAACTGACAAGCCACAATAGTAAATGTACATGGCTTTTGGAGCAACTTTTTAAAAATTATAAAAAAATTCAGTTTCAAAATGCAGAATTCTCTCCTTGTCATTTTTATGACGAATCCTGTACTATAGTACAGGGACTTCTGCTCGATTTTTGAGTAACTTTTAAAATTCATAAAAATCCAAATTTGATTGAAATCAGCTCAAACTTGCTACACAACTTAAGTACATATATGACGTATCAGAATATTATATGTATATATAATTGGTGTCTTTTTTGGCAAAATTTGGCCAAGACCATATTCAGCATGATTTCTGATTGGAATCACCTCAATTTTTTGATACATATTAAATTACTAATATGCATGTGCATGTATTAGAAAGTTATTAAAATGGAAGATTCTCTCCTAACCATTTTTGAAAACATGTACCTTTACTATAATTATTTTGGAGCAACTTGATATTATTGGATTGTGTCATTTTCTAGTCAACATATTGTTCTAATGTTGTTGCTCATTGTGCTGACGTTAAGAGAACTGTTCATGTTGTTAATTTGGATCCAGCAGCAGAAGCTTTCAATTATCCAGTCACTGTAGGTGAGCAGCCATGATTTTGATAATTGGAAGTTTTCTACATATACTTGTAAATGTATTAGCAAAATTGGTGTTAGCTTTTGATCTGAAAGCATCTCCATTTTTATTATATTTTCTGAACATAGGATAACAGCCTTATAGAAAGTGCAATTTACTATTATCGTAATTGAAATGCCATGATTGAAGTGCCTAAACTAAAGGTTAAATCATAATTAGTACTAGATAGTATTAATTTGATGGGCTTTCCTATTAATTGATGCAATGATTTTGTATTATACTTTTTTGCTCTGTCCCTTTGTAGACATTCGTGAGCTGATACAAGTTGATGATGTAATGAGTGATGATAGTTTAAAGCTAGGACCTAATGGCGGACTGATCTTTTGTATGGAGTAAGCTTTACTGGTTTTGTGTATTTGATTGTTAGTTTAATGTAGTACATGTACTGTAATAGTATTATTGAAACTAAGTCATTAATATTAGTAAATGATAATAATAGTAATAATAATAATAATAATAATAAAATAGTACTAATAAATAAATAAATAATAATAATAATAATAATAATAACTTGTTACGTGCATGTATGTAGCTTTTATTTAACATGTACATGTACATGTACATCAGGCTCTAGTGGATATTTTAATTTAGGTATCTTGTTCAAAATCTCTCGTGGCTTGAAGAGCAGCTAGAGGATGGGGAAGACGACTACTTTCTTTTTGATTGTCCAGGTAAACTTAGTACTTCTATCACTTTTCCATATCAGTACTTATTTTATGGCATTCACATTTGTTTATTTAACCTGCACATCACATTATGATTATATCAATAAGTTCAGGGGTGTAGCCAGGGGGGGGGCAAGGGGGCAATTGCCCCCTTTTTACAACTCAAAATTTAAAAATAATCAAATAATAAGCTGCTTTTGGAAGGAAAAGCTGTTCTACAACTTACATATGAAAGGAAAAGGCCAAAGCAGTCTTTCTATGATGCCATTATAAGGCTGAAAAGGTATTCAACGTTGCCTATGATTGGTCAAGAAGTCCACCATGTTGAAAAATAGGTGTGGTCATGCCCCAAAAGGGCGTGGTTTCGCAAAATTTCACGGCACGCTTCACGCACCACATAGTTTGTCCCACCCCCTTTTCAAAAATCCTGGCTACGCCACTGAATAAGTTCTTTATGCATGCACATTTTGTGTCCTTCTACACATATATTTTGTGTAATTATGTCTTTGTAAACCTTTTCTTTTTTGCCATGTAGGCCAAATTGAGCTGTATACACATGTCCCTGTTATGTCACAGATAGTGGAGCAGTTGGATAAATGGGGTTTCAGACTGTGTGGTGTATTCTTGTTAGACTCAGCTTTCCTGACATCAACAACAAAGTTCATATCCGGTGTAATGACCACACTTTCCTCGATGGTGACATTGAAACTGCCGCAAATTAACGTTCTGTCAAAGATTGATTTACTCACTTTGCAGTCAAGGGAAGACTTGGAGAGGTATATATGCTAAGGAATGAAATGCTTTTCATGGTTTTTGCAATCCACAGAAATTGTATGGGGAAATGTAAAGGACATTATATACCAGACAATTCTATTGCTTGCAGTCTGTGGTTACTTTGATGTTGTAAGCAGTGTGTTGCCTAGCATAGAACAGCTTTCTATTCTAGGCACCAGTGTTGCCTGAAGATTGAAGTAACCACAGATTGCTTCCAATAGCATTGCCTGGTGTATAGGGGCCTTAACCTAATTACTTGTTAATGCCATTATTTGATTGAAATAGATCAATAGATACCCTGTACTTATGTTAATGATAGCACAATGCCTAGGGTAGGAAGGAACAGGGTTCTGGTTGGGTTTTTAGTGTCCCCCGAACATGTTAAAAGAGGATAATTTAGCCATTTAAACTTGCATAATTATTTGACATTGAAGTTCAAGTTCCAATTCTTTCAATTATTAATTTTGTGTGATGTGAAAAACTAAAAATTTATGTGATGAAGTGATCTCACTGGAATGAATAACCTGAGCTTAAATTCTGATGTTCACTTTTGTATGAATGGATTAAAAGAAACTCCACAGCACAATGAAGGAGTCATCCAGTTAATTATCATGCCTTAATTCATATCAAATTAATTCCTTTAACTTGTAATGCATGTACATTGTATGTTACTACACAATCATATCCTTGGAAAGACAAGTCACGCCAATGACTTGTTTGGTAGATTAAAAGCTTCAGTTATGCCTACATGTAACTTGCCTTTGTCTCCTTTGAACTTGTGAATGACAGTTAGAAGTACAATGTAGCAAAAAACTTTATTAATGTGTTTGACCTTTATTGCCAGTTTTCCACTACTTGTCATTATAGTTATAATTGGCATTTTGTTGTAGGTATTTGGATCCTCAAACTTCAGACTTGTTACAGGAATTATCTCAGGCTACACATGGGAAGTTCAAGAAGCTCAATAAAGCAATATGTAGCTTGGTTAGTTAGTCACACATTGACCATGTACATGTACAGCTGTGGTGAGAATACAACTTAACAATTGGACGCATAAAATGTCCGCTTAACTCCGTTTGTCGAAATACGAATGCTTTTCACATGTGCATGCTCATTGACCACGTGTTTGATTGTTCATTATGTTTACAAGCATTTTCCTTTGGCATAGGCGTAGCATAATTTGAGTGAAAATTTTGTTCCAAACAATTTTTTATTGCTACAACTGAAGAATCTTGGTTTAAGTAGAATGTATAATGTGATTTGAACTTTTTTATAATGGCTGATTTTTCTATTTTTTTAATTTTTGATGATTTTTCTAAGAATAAGACGAAGTTACAAGACTTAACGCATACATGTAGTATGCATTTAAGATACTTGATTTAACATAATCTGAGTGCTAATTTTGATCGGATTGAATTTTTTGCTACTACACTTTGCAGAGTCTTAGCCTTAAGTGTGCACGCGTGACACTTCTTCATGTTTAGTGCTGTCATTTGAGGGCCGTCGGCTGTACAGTACTATATTACTATAAATGTACTTGAAACAACCAGATGTGTGTATATGTACGTGTTATTACATGTAGTATTACTGTCACACTCTTATAATCCATACTCCATAGTGTTTCCCTTTTATAGTTATACCTGTAGTTCCCTTTAAGCTGTAACCCCAGCATCAGGGCTCTTCTCCATGTTCTCGTTTGCTTCTATATGATGCCTACATGTACATGTATAAAAGAATTCCTCTTTACATGATTTACATTATATGAGGGTTGATCACTCCCTTTCATTTTTCCCATTAACATTTATCTTTGCCCATTCATTCTGAAGAATGACAGCTGCCAAAAGACTTTCTGACATTGTCTCTTAAACATTTTTTGCCTAATGTAATGTAACTGATAATAAATTGTTAAAGTATTGGGCTAGAGTAGAAAGGCAGTTGCCTTGAGTATGGTAAGGGAGGTGGGTCATCTTTAGAATAAATGGCAGTTTTATTGCCATAGTCATATTCCAATACAGTACCAGACAAAATTAACTTACATGTACATCATTGCTGAATGCGTCACACATTTTATCATGCAATATTTTACGCATGCATGCCTAATTCCTGTGTGGTTTTTTTTCATGCCCCACATATGCGTAATTATACCACGGGTACGTCCCACATTGTCGTAGGCACATGCATGTGGTATCACGTGGTCACTCACTCATGCTTTTGTTTTTTTTTATTAGTTTTTTAATTCAAGTCCAATGTGCCTCTTATATATGAGAGACAATGAATTATTAGGTTCTACGCGCATCAAGATAACCCAAAGCCTTCATACGTGTGTATTTTATTTTAAAGCTATTGAACGAGATTTTTTTTGAGAGGCCAACATTTTTGGTTACTGTTACTAATGTTATTTTTGAATGAAGATAGTGAGTCCCTTGCTACCAGCTGCTGCTACTGTCCTCTGTTTAATTAATGAGCATGCGCATTACAAGAGCTGAGCATGCGCACGAGTCCCTTTACTGTACTTTAGTACATATAGCACTAGTTATATTTATTATTATATTATAGTAGTACAGTACATTATCAAGTAAAAGTACATTACTTACATTTACACGTACATGTACATGTACAATTGTACATGCACTGGTTTACATTAGATGAGCGTATAGTGCCTCTTGTTAAGTTGTCTCTGACCACAGCTGCAATACGTGTAATTATGTACACATATACATGTACTAATTTTTTGTATGTGTAATAGTACCATATTAAATGCTGAATTGAGAATAAAGTAAAATTTTGTTGTTCCTAGTTCCTACATTTTGAATAATTCTTTAAGCTAGTGTGCTTGGTTAAGTTGGTGTGGCTGAAACTTGAGTAACAGGCAGAGAACCTTACTTAATTAATTATTATGTGGAAGGGTTGCGATTGTTGGTCAGCTGCGGTTTTTTGTCAAAGTTGGAACCTTGTAAATTTTACCAACTGTACAGCAAATTTTGATTAATTATTTATCTTAGTATTGTTAAGCTACTTTTAAGATAATGCATTGTGTAACTAATGCTGTTAAGACACAAGATTGGGCGTTTATGTTTTAAGGATATGACGCATGCACTTCAGTCATGACCGGAAGTGCTGTATAAATCAATGGGAGCATGCGTCAATGCGTCAGATTTAGAAAAAATTTCTATTCTGATGCATTGACGCATACTCCCATTTGTTTATACAGCACTTCCGGTCATGACGCTAGCACATGAAAAACAATGCATCATATTGGGAACCTCCTGCCTTTAGTTAAAGCACAATTGAGAGTAGGTTACGTGAATTATTGCACAAGGTTTGTGATCAAGTGGACAATGTACTGTGAGGCAAGCCCAAGTGTTACATCTTCTTTGGGCAATAATTCTTATTATCCACGAATCAACAGTGCTTTGATTGGTTTGGAGTTGTGTGTGTGTGGGTAGATCTTATTGATAGACATTAATAACATTTACAAATGTACATGTACAGTATGTCCTTGATATAAATGGGTGTGGTTACCATTCCTTAGCTTAATCCTGTGGGAACCATGTGTTAAAGTGAGAAGTACAGACTTCCACTCTATTGATTCTCTATAGCACACCACTATGATAAACAGGAACTGTCTCTTGTACTTAGTCTATAAGTATCTCTGCTCTATTTACTTCATATATCCTGTAGTAACGTTCATTTCTTATTGATGGTCAATGATGGACAGTATGTCATTCAACTCTACAGACTTTGTTCTAACTGGAGATATCAACAGTCCTACTTATGCAGCAGCTCTTGGTATTGAAGGAGTCATTGGTATAATAGCTAATGTAGCAGTGTTATTAATGACACTGTATCAAAGGAAATCCTGGAATCAGCCATCAACAATATTCTTCACTTCTCTCCTACTGTCTAGCCTCATTATTGCTCTAGTGTATTTGATGTCTTCTTTTGCAGTAGGAGCTGAAGAATGGATCTTTGGGAACACTTTTGAGGAAAAGAATGGATCATGTATCTTTTTTGGATTTTTCCTTTATTATGGTGGTATGCTTAATGCTGCAACATTAGCTGTTATATCTTTTGATCGGTTTCTGTTTATTGTCAAGCCTCATCTTCACAAGCAGTTCATGAGACCACGAGTAGCTCTGATCCTGATTATTGGTGTGTGGTTGCTGTGTTCACTAATAAATACTATACCATTCTATGGTTTTGGTGTGTTTGGATATCTTTATGATAATGGTGTTTGCTCATTAATCTATGAACATTCAGGCTTGTATCTTTTAGTTCTTTTAGTAGTATATCCAATGATTTATTGTATAATAGCATCTACATCTATTTGGACATTCTTCTTCACTCGTAGCTTCATAAAGAGGCAGGGTCGATCAGTTGATAGTGGTGTATACCAGTCTAAGAATAAGAAGTTGTTTGGTATATTTGGATCAATGCTTCTGTCCTACATCCTGACTTTACTTCCATCATATTTTGTTGCTCTTCTTGTTTTTATTTTTGGCCAGTTGGACAGTGCATTTGCATTTGGTATTGGTACATATGGATTGATCTCAATAATGAATCCTCTCATTCAATCATATTTTAGGCCAGAGATAAAAGAGACTTTAGTCCTTTTTGCCAAAAAAATTGGATTAAAATCAAATAAGATACATCCAATTGAACCACAAGTCGCTGTCACGGCTGATTAACTTCTTTTAGTCTGATTAACTTCTTTTAGTCGTTACTGATCAGTTCAGTATTAATTTGTTTATTGTTAGAGATAGTGTCTTTTACATATTGTTCCTGTTAATGATAATCAGATGTTTATTGTAGTTAATATTTCTATAATTTTTTGTCAAGATAATTATGTTGAATTTTATAACTTATTGTTGATAATTTCATTACAATTCTCTCTCTGTTTGTGTATATAGTGTAGCTAGAAAATTCAAAATTGGTGGATTGTTTTCTAAAGAGATTTGGTAATGAAGAGTTTTTGGCCAAGTGCACTGGAATGAAGGGCAACTGGAGCTTAATTCACCAAATTTGCCAAAGTTTTTTTCTACTATATGCCCAAATTTATTGTGCCTGAGTCAGGTCTGATTTCAGTTTCCACAGGATTTTGGATTTTAAATTTGCTCCAGAATTCGGTAAAATACCATACACTCTACAGACTATTTTTTATTTGTAGCTGAGAGAGAATTTTCCATTCGTACAACTTTCTCTACATTAACATGATGTTCATGTGCTGTATGGAAATTTTGAGGTGATTCTAATCAAGTTTGGATTTTTTACAAAGTTTTGAAGTTTCTTTAAAATCAGGCCAAAGATCCTGTACTATTGTATGTGGCCAAATTCTGCATGAAATGACTATGAAAGAATTCTGCATTTTATAATTCTTTTTTTTTGATACTTATCCACATGTTGTGTAGCAAGTTTGAGCTGATTTTGATCAAAATTGAATTTTTAATGAATTTTTATGAAGCATGCTTTCTAGCTCACTTTGATTTGAGCGAAACCCTGAATACTGGTACAGCCTTGATGTGAATTATGGTTGATCATGAATATTGCTTTGGCCTGATCCGCCACACATGCTTGTCGTGATTGTACTGTTGTAACAAGTTTTAACAGACCAAAGAGAACAATCAAAGTATCATAAAAGAACCACACAAATCACTAGTTATTATCAATAGTTAAATACATGGTAATGGTTAAATGGTCATGATAACATTAATATAATAATTGTTACACTGTGACTAACTCCACAATTGTATTGGGACTGATTGCCTAAAATCCATTGTCCTCATCTAATATCTGCAGGCCTGATTTGGACTGGTTCAGGTCCAAACTCTTGGCTGTGTAATAATATTGAAGCATTTTTAATAATTATGAATCCTACTTAGTAATGCTACCGCGTTACTAATACTGGTAAAGTAGTTCTGCTTGTATGTACACATATGTCTGTTCGTGGCTAGTTGGTGGAGAAATGTTCTAGTAATTTTAATCTGTGGGCATAGCCTGATTTGCAAGATATTACCTTTTCAAATGGGAATAGTAAGCCCTACACAAAGTTGCCATATGGAGGTGCATAATACTCTCAAACTGGAACTATTGAAATTCAACTGGCATCCTTTGATCCTCCCAAACAGCAAGAATACTGTTGAATGTACTAATGAAAAATAACTATGAGAATTAAAACAATTTTTGATTATAATTGCAGAAATCACAATAGTTGAATTAATAACAGTCAAACTCTGGATGTACTCTTGTAGCTGCTCATCTATTCAATTAAAAATATTATTATTAGCATTAAAAATTTTTATTTAAAAACAACTTATAATAATAACAGAATAATTAATAAATGATGACCAGAGGAAAAGAGATGAATGTTCCTATTCTCAAGTATACCAGTATCAAGTATCAGACTCACAATCACTATCAAACTCATCTTCCAGGAAATAAGAGTGGCCACTCATTTTCCATTTATGCCTCTCAACTACAAAAAGAATCATGATTCATTGCATTTTACTAGTGCAGAATGCAAGAGCAATTATGGTGGGTCCCCATGCATCATAAGTGCCTCATTGGCATTATGCTATGACTTTACACGTGTGTGTTAAATTGAGCAATACTGGCTTCCACTCTAATAATTCTCTAAAACACACCACTATGATAAACAGGAACTGTTATTTGTATTTAGTAAATAAGTATCTCTGCTCTATTTACTTTCATAATATCTTTGGGCAGTGTAGGTTCATTTTGTATTATGTACATCATGTCATTCAACTCTACAGACTTTGTTCTAACTGGAGATATCAACAGTCCTACTTATGCAGCAGTTCTTGGTATTGAAGGAGTCATTGGTATAATAGTTAATGTAGCAGTGTTACTAATGACACTGTATCAAAGGAAATCCTGGAATCAATCATCAACAATATTCTTCAATTTTCTCCTACTATCTAACCTCATTATTGCTCTAGTGTATTTCATGTCTTCTATTGCAGTAGGAGCTAAAGAATGGATCTTTGGAAACTCTTTTGAGGAAAAGAATGCAACATGTATGTTTGTTGGCTATGCCCTTTGGACGGCGGTATGCTTCTTTCACTGACATTAGCTGCTATATCTTTTGATCGGTTTCTGTTTATTGTCAAGCCTCATCTTCACAAGCGGTTCACGAGACCACGAGTAGCTCTGATCCTGATTATTGGTCTGTGGTTGCTGTGTTCACTTATAAATACTGGACCTTTCTTCGGCTTTGGCCTGTATGGTTATAATTTTTGTAATGGGATTTGCACATGTCTATCAAAATTTAGTTTATAATGCAATTTTTACTGGGATCCTTCTTGTGGTATTCATTCTGTAATGGTAATAGCATCTATTTGGACATTCTTTTCCACTCGTAGCTTCATAAAGAGGCAGGGTCGATCAGTTGATAGTGGTGTGTATCAGTCTAAGAATAAGAAGTTGTTTGGTATATTTGGATTGATGCTTCTATCTTATGTCCTTGCTCTGTTACCAACATATATTGTTAGTTTTGTCATCGTCTCCGGCCTATCTGAGAGTGTATATGCTATTGGTTTTAGTATATGCATGTTTGCATCAATCACAATAGTAAATCCTCTCATTCAGTCATACTTCAGGCCAGAGATAAAAGAGGTTTTAGTTTCTTTTGCCAATAAAATTGGATTAAAGTCAAACAAAATATTACCAGTCAGGATCCAAGTTATCCATGTCAAGACAATTGGCTAACAAAGATGCTGTGGAGCTAGGCGACGCATGGAAATAATTATGGCGAAAGTAGCATTGCAGCCATAACTTTTATCCATCAGCTAAGAAGACTTTCTTGCAGAAATTCTTTATGAGCAAATAGGCCCTGCTCCATTGCTTTTATACACATTCCTGCAAAGAGGTTGGTTAAACCGGATCATGATGATGTTGTTCGTTCACTTGGTTGTCTAAAAATATGAATATACAGGGAGAGAGAGCAGAAAGAGAAAGTAGGAGTTAAAAATAAGAAAGACATTCAAAGTTTCAAACTGAAAACATGGACATGCAGCATAATAGGCACATTATTGTTGTCCACCCAGCACTGATACCTAGTCGACGCTGACTCTGGATTACTGGTTTTCACCTCAACTTCAACCACGCCGAATTTATTTGATAGATTATCAGCCTTTGGGGCACTGGCTGTGTCGAATGATCCTTTAAAAAAGCTGTAATCATAGATACACCATGGATCTTACCTGACTCATGTGACTGAGCAGGGGAAGCTGGTATCGTAACACCATGATCGGGAAGATCTGGAATAGGCTCGGAGTCAGAAAGGGGGGGGGGGTTGCTGTTAGTCTTGTTGCTGTAGGGCTCCATTTTCTATGTTCTACTCCTCTGACTCAGACTGACTGAACTGAAGTAGGTTGTTGCTGCAGGCCTCTTATATACACGCGCATTGACAGGAAGTGATCCATCTTTCGTGACTACACCTCCATATCATTTGCAATAATGACATGACATAACGATTCAATTAATCATAGAGAAATAAAAAATAATAATAAATGAGTATCAAGCAGCTCTACTAACACAACTGAGCCCACCATCTGAGGTTCCCCCTCTCTCCTTTTGCTCCGCCTGCAGGCTGGTAGCACCATTGTCTTTTGTATGTACCTATAATAATAATAATAATAATTTTAATAATAATAGTACAGTTTTCCGCTTGCGCAATATGCATCTACCGTGTATATATTTGATTTTTATTGTGTATATACCCATATATACTTTTTATTTAAATATTCGTGTATTGTGTATACACTTGCACTGTCTGGTTGATATTGTTGTTTAACTTTACGCCTGCATTGTGTTAACCTGAGTAATACAGGCTTCCACTCTAACAATTCTCTAAAACACGTTGCTATGATAAACAGGAACTGTCATTTGTACTTAGTATATAAGTATTTCTGCTCTATTTACTTTCTTAATATCTTTTGTTCATTTCTTATTGGTGTATATACATCATGTCATTCAACTCTACAGACTTTGTTCTAACTGGAGATATCAACAGTCCTACTTATGCAGCAGTTCTTGGTATTGAAGGAGTCATTGGTATAATAGCTAATGTAGCAGTGTTATTAATGACACTGTATCAAAGGAAATCCTGGAATCAGCCATCAACAATATTCTTCACTTCTCTCCTACTGCCTAACCTCATTATTGCTCTATGCTATTTGATGTCTTCTATTGCAGTAGGAGCTGAAGAATGGATCTTTGGAAACACTTTTGAGCAAAAGAATGGATCATGTATGTTTGTTGGTTACATTCTTTGGAATGGTATTATGATTATTGCTGCAACATTAGCTGCCATATCTTTTGATCGGTTTCTGTTTATTGTCAAGCCTCATCTTCACAAGCAGTTCATGAGACCACGAGTAGCTCTGATCCTGATTATTGGTGTGTGGTTGCTGAGTTCACTAATAAATACCATACCATTTTATAGTACAGGTGGATATGGGTATTTTCCTCCTAATGGTATTTGCTCATTTTTAAATGAAACATCTCCATATTATTTTGTAGTTCTGATACTAGTGTATGCTATTAGTTATTCTATAATGGCATTTACATCTATTTGGACATTCTTTTTCACTCGTAGCTTCATAAAGAGGCAGGGTCGATCAGTTGATAGTGGTGTGTATCAGTCTAAGAATAAGAAGCTGTTTGGTATATTTGGATCCATGCTTCTATCTTATATCCTAAGTTTTTTTCCATCATATATTGTTGGTTTTTTTGTCTACTTTGGTCTACCTGATCCTGATGGTCTGTATGCTTTTACCTTTTGTACATATGGGTTGGTCGTAATAATAAATCCTCTCATTCAGTCATACTTCAGGCCAGAGATAAAAGAGGTTTTAGCTTCTTTTGCCAATAAAATTGGATTAAAATCAAACAAAATATTACCAGTCAGGATCCAAGTCGAACCCAAACCTGATTGACTTTTTTTAGTTACTGTATTCATTTTCAGTTACAATTAGTTTTATTATTAGAAAGAAACTTGTTAATGATTGTTGTATTAGTTTCATTGTTAGATTATGACTAAATATGTTGTTATATGCTCATTACTTATTGACTGATTTTTTAACACTTACATTTATGCAATGGTTTCAAGGCAATTCTGGGCATTACAAGTGACACTGCATCACAAACTGCCAGCCTTTATAATTGAGCAATTTAGTTGCTCAAATACATTCAAATTATTGAAAATCGTAATTTCAATCTTAATTGCTTTTCCTTGATCCTCAATGTTTTAGCATAACTTTTAAATAATAGCTGATCTTACAACACTAGGTTTGCATTAATTCATTTATTACTAATGACTGTATCATTTATAAAGTGAGAGATATTGGCTTCCACCCTAATGATTCTCTATGTCACATCATTATGATAAACAGGAACTAGCTTTTGTAAGTATCTGTTACTTTCACTTTACTACAGGATTGTTTTTATTGATGGACAGTATGTCATTCAACTCTACAGACTTTGTTCTAACTGGAAATATCAACAGTCCTACTTATGCAGCAGTTCTTAGTATTGAAGGAGTCATTGGTATAATAGCTAATGTAGCAGTGTTATTAATGACACTGTATCAAAGGAAATCCTGGAATCAACCATCAACAATATTCTTCACTTCACTCCTACTATCTAACCTCATTATTGCTCTAGTGTATTTCATGTCTTCTATTGCAGTAGGAGCTGAAGAATGGATCTTTGGAAAGTCTTTTGAGGAAAAGAATGGATCATGTATGTTTGTTGGTTATGCCCTTGGGTATGGTGGTATGCTGATCTCTGCAACATTAGCTGTTATATCTTTTGATTGGTTTCTGTTTATTGTCAAGCCTCATCTTCACAAGCAGTTCATGAGACCACGAGTAGCTGTGATCCTGATTATTGGTGTGTGGTTGCTGTGTTCACTAATAAATACTACACCATTTTATAGTACAGATGGGTATGATGGGTATTTTCCTTGTAGTGAGGTTTGTTTGTTTATTTATGAAACATCAGTATGAGCATGTTTTGTAGTTCTGATAGTAGTGTATGCTATTATTTGTTTTGTAATGGGATTTACATTTATTTGGATATCCTTTTTCACTCGTAGCTTCATAAAGAGGCAAGGTTAATTAGTTGATAGTGGTGTGTATCAGTTTAAGAATAAGAGACTGTTTGTTATATTTGCATCCATGCTTCTATCTTATATCCTAACTTTACGACCATCATATATTATTGGTCTTTTTTTCTACTTTGGTCTACCTGATAGTCAGTATGCTTTTGGTGTTTGTACATATGGGTTGGTTGCAATAATAGATTCTCTCATTCAATCATATTTTTGGCCAGAGATAAAAGCAACTATTTCGTCTTTTGCCAGTAAAACAAAATACATGAGGATAGTAGTCATAACCACAGCTAATGACTTTATTTTTGTAATTTTCAATCATTTTCAGATATATTTTGTTTTGTTGGTAGAGATAACTGAAGATAACAGTACTTGCAGATCATTCATTTTTCAGGCCACGCCCAAATGAGTTTTGCTAGGGATAAAATATGAGACTGAAGCTTACATGAAGGAACTTGACTCTACTGCTGCCCAAAGACTTTTCAGCAACAATGAAATTTTAGAAAGCAATTACCGTACGGTTGGTAATATTTGAGGGTCCAATATTTCATGTTTTCTCCAAAATGTCCTTAGAAGCTAATATTCGTGGGTAAAAATATTCGTGGATGGCAGTTAGCAAACTTCTTTTCACTTGGATCTATTGGACTAGCTTCCAACACATGGTTTATAGTGGAATATGGAGTAATAGACAAAGACTTTGGCTCCTCCACTGGCTTGGAAACCCTGTTAATTAGTGTTTATGTGTGGGTGGGTAGGGGTTAAAATTTTGTGGATAAAAATTAACCACGAAATTAACGAAAATTAATACCCCACAAAATTTACTAACCGTACGGTATAATGTTATTTGTTGATGTCAAGCATTCTAAGCATGCTTAAAGCTTGATACCTACCAACATTGTTTTTCTATTACCCTGATGTATGAGCTATATTTTGTGCAACCTGTTTAGTTGATAGTAAATCTCAACACTTTAGCTTGCTGAGCAATTCCATTATATTGTTATCTGTTAAACTGAAAAATATAGGATTCCACTCTAAAGATTCAATAAAGCACACCTCTTTGATATAACAGGAACTGCCCACTATTATATCTAGTCTACAAGCATCTGTGCTAGCGACTTTCATTATCTATATGATTCTTTATTGACGAACATTATGTCAATCAACTCTACAGACTTTGTTCTAACTATAGATATCAACAGTCCTACTTTTGCAGCAGTTCTTGGTATTGAAGGAGTCATTGGTATAATAGCTAATGTAGCAGTGTTATTAATGACACTGTATCCAAGGAAATCCTGGAATCAATCATCAACAATATTCTTCACTTCTCTCCTACTGTCTAACCTCATTATTGCTCTAGTGTATTTGATGTCTTCTATTGCAGTAGGAGCTGAAGAATGGATCTTTGGAAACACTTTTGAGGAAAAGAATGGATCATGTATGTTTGTTGGTTATATCCTTTGGTATGGTGGTATGATTATTGCTGCAACATTAGCTACCATATCTTTTGATCGGTTTCTGTTTATTGTCAAGCCTCATCTTCACAAGCGGTTCATGAGACCACGAGTAGCTCTGATCCTGATTATTGTTGTGTGGGTAATGAGTTCACTAATAAATACTATACCATTTTATAGTACAGGTGTATATGGGTATTTTCCTCGTAATGGTCTTTGCTTGTTAATTTATCAAGCATCAGTATATTTTGCAATTTCTTTAGTTGTGTTTATCCCATATAGAAAAAACAAGGTTGCAGCATGGTTGTCGCAACCTGGTAACAAGGTTGTTGTTACTAGGTGGTCACAAGGTGGTCACTACCTGGCCACAAGGCCTACCACCTTGTAAAAACCCTGGAATTGACACGTTTTTCGCCTTGTGACAACCATGTAACAACCTTGTGATAACCTTTTGAATAACTATAATCTGAAAGCCTATCAACACATAATTAATATTGTCATCTTAATCCCATATAATTTCAAATGATTTCTAGATACTTGTAATGTATCTATGATACATGTAGCTAATGTATAAAGATGTGGATGTGTATTAATGCTATCATTATTGACTTGTACAAGGGCTGGTCAATGGTCCCCTTATATATGGTAGCAATAGCTTCATATCATCATGGGGCGCACTTAATGAAACCTCAGTTTCCTGCCAACCTTCGGACAACCTTGTCACAAGGTTGTTATGTTTGTAACACGTTAGTCACAAGGTTGTCACTAGGTTGCTCACAACTTTATCATTTTTGTACAAGGTTGTTACCAGGTTGCTACAACCTTGTGAGGTTGTGAACCGGTTGTAACAAGCTTGTAGCAAGCTTGAAATTTCTATATGGGTATATACTATTATTTATTCTGTAATTGCAATTACATCTATTTGGACATTCTTTTTCACTCGTAGCTTCATAAAGAGGCAGGGTCGATTAGTTGATAGAGGTGTGTATCAGTCTAAGAGTAAGAGGCTGTTTGGGATTTTTGGTTCCATGCTTCTATTCTACATCATAGCTTTACTTCCATCATATATTGTTGGTCTTTCTATCTTCTTTGACCTACCTGATGGTCTGTATGCTTTTGGTTTTTGGTCATATGGGTTGGTCACAACAATAAATCCTCTCATTCAATCATATTTTAGGCCAGAGGTAAAGGCAACATTAGTTTTAATTGCCAATAAAATTGGATTAAAGTCAAACAAAATTGGTACTAGTCAGAACCACAGCTGATTGACTTTATTTTATTGGTTACTAATCAGTTTCAGTTGTAGTTATTAGATATTCTGTCTTTATTGTGTTTCTGTTGCTTTATCTTTTATGTATTTAAACATGTTTTTGTTAACATAACATTATATTGATGACCGTCATGAATGTATTTAAATAAAATTGAAAAATGTGAATCATTGGTAATACCTGTGCTGAAAAATACATTGACTGGCCGGAGACAATGATGCAATATACTGAGCCAAAAAGGTGTGGTTTTTTAAATTTATATAATCATTAAAAGCCAATAGTACTCTTGTTAAAACTGCATTTCAATTTATTTTTAGTTACCTATGTGCAATCAAGCAGTCTTTATAATGGCTAGCTGAATAGCTTGATATTATCTTTTCAGCATTGCTTATGTTAGTAAAGGCTACCTTTGTCCTGTCCTGCCACAACATAAAGAGAAAGATGATGTATATGTAAGTTCACATTATTTGCCAGTGGTATGGTTGGCAGGAGCCTAAGTAAACTTCTTAGTACATAAGAGAGCCATTCCTTTAATCACGGACACACCCATGCTATAATTATGCTAGATAACTACCATATGATGCTGTAAAAGTCAAAATTAAAACAACTGTGACATGCATGAAAATAAAAAATCTGCTCCTAAGGGATAACAGCTACATTCCAGCAGTTGCTCTTGAACTAGCATCATGCATACAAACTGCTCCAGTACAGGTGACTGTGGCATTACATCATATTTTACTATTTACATCTATTTGGACATACTGTTTCACTCGTAGCTTCATAAAAAGAAAAGATCGATCAGTTGATAGTGGTGTCTATCAGTCTAAGAATAAGAGGCTGTTTGGTATATTTAGATCCATGCTTCTATCCCATATCCTAGCTGTATTTCCATCAAATATCTTGTTGCATTCTTTCTTGACCACCCAATATGTGTGTGCTTTTGGTGTTTGTTGATGTGGATTGATCACAATAATAAACCCTCTCATTCAGTGATAATTTAGGCCAGAGATAAAAGCAACTATTTTGTCTTTTGCAAGTAAAATTGGATTAAAATCAAACAAAATACATCAGGATAGTAGTCAAAGCCACAGCTGATGACTTTATTTTTGTATTAGCTTTAGTTATACATGATTTTTTGGGGTCTTCATTATTATTATTATTATTATTATTAACAAGTTTCACAGGAGGTAAGAACCAACTTTGTGGACTGCTGACATCCTGACACAAACAAATAAAAAAAGAAAAGAAAGTAAAAAAATGATACATAATAAAGTAAGAAAAGGAGAAACTAAGACAAATCACAAGAAGAATAGGGACACGAAAAATAAAAAGAACATACAATTATCAAAATTAAAATAATAAATTATTCCAAAAAATGGTCCAAATTTTCCTTTTAATTACATCAAATGATGCATCTAAATCAATATATGGCAAAGAATTCCAAAGTCTTGCAATTTGATTAAAGAAAAGTGACAGAAACAATTCGAGTGACAAACAGAAAAAACTAGTTTATTTTTAGAACGAAAACGAGTTATGTTCCTTTAATGGTTACTTTGGGCCATGTCCAAGTGAGTTTTGCTAGGATGAAGCATAGATGATTATTACTATGTAACCATTTACATAGTATTACGTAAATGGTTACGTAGTATTCATTATCTCTGGATGAAGTATCGAAATGGGAGTAAGAGTTAAAGCTACATGAAGAAAGCAACTCAACTCAACCACTTGTCTAAAGACTTTTCTGGCAACAAGAAAATTTTGGAAAGCAATTATAAATTTTTATTATTGATATCAAGCAACCAAGGAAAGTCTTGTAATTACTTCAAAGCAACCAGTCATTGCTAGTGCTGCTGACAATCAGTTGTCCTGCAATAGGGAAACCTGGTGTCTGGTCTAATCTATTATTACTTTCTCTATCTTTAGTAACAGTGGCATATTAAATATGATCTGTTACACAGACAACATTTATGTCAGTTTCATAATCGTTGTCTTAAACATATTTTTAAGTATTTTGTCCCAGAGCTTTAGCACTTATCAAGTGGCCACAAGTAAAAGGTGTTAAAATCAGGATAGCCATCTAAAATTCTGGACGCTTTGCCAAATATAAAGCCCAAAGAGATCCCAAACCCAGATTTGAATAATGACAAGCAACTTTATGATTTGATTACAATAACTACAAAAAATATTCATGATAACTGTAATGATTAATTTTTAGAGATTAGAAGTCAGCTTATTTTGCTTGTGGTCTGATTTTCATAGGGGAGGTTTAGTATCTTCACATTGGAAGGAAAAAGTTGCAGCTTTTGTCAGTTTGTTATGTATGATACAAAATCTTGCCCATTGATGGAGTGAGCTTCTGTAAACTTTCTAATTATTGCTTTATACTAACTAAATTTTTAGGAAACTAGCATTAATATGCTGATTCCATGATTGATATTAATTTTGCCCACTTTGTTGATAACTCTAAACAATTCTGCATTTTGTACCAATGTATGTGTTAAACTGAAAAATACAGGCTTCCATCTCAATGATTCAATAAAGCACACCTCTTTGAAAGAACAGGAGCTGTCTCTTATTGTATCTAGTCTACAAGCATCTGCGCCAGCTACTTTCATTATCCTTATTGATGGACATTATGTCATTCAACTCTACAGACTTTGTTCTAACTGGAGATATCAGCAGTCCTACTTTTGCAGCAGTTCTTGGTATTGAAGGAGTCATTGGTATAATAGTTAATGTAGCAGTGTTATTAATGACACTGTATCAAAGGAAATCCTGGAATCAATCATCAGCAGTATTCTTCACTTCTCTCCTACTGTCTCACCTCATTATTGCTCTATGGTATTTCATGTCTTCTATTGCAGTAGGAGCTGAAGAATGGATCTTTGGAAACACTTTTGAGGAAAAGAATGCAACATGTATGTTTGTTGCTTATATCATTTGGTATGGCAGTATGGATATTTCTGCAACATTAGCTGCTATATCTTTTGATCGGTTTCTGTTTATTGTCAAGCCTTATCTTCACAAGCGGTTCATGAAACCACGAGTAGCTCTGATCCTGGTTATTGGTGTGTGGGTGATGAGTTCACTAATAAATACTATACCATTTTATAGTACAGGTGGATATGGGTATTTTCCTCATAGTGGTATTTGCTCATTTTTAAATAGAACATCAGCATATTTTGTAGTTCTGATAGTAGTGTATGCTATTATTTATTCTATAATAGCATTTACATCTATTTGGACATTCTTTTTCACTCGTAGCTTCATAAAGAGGCAGGGTCGATCAGTTGATAGAGGTGTGTATCAGTCTAAGAATAAGAGGCTGTTTGGAATTTTTGGTTCCATGCTTCTATTCTACATCATAGCTTTACTTCCATCATGTATTATTATTTTTTCTATCTACTTTGACCTACCTGATGGCCTGTATGCTTTTAGCATTTGTACATATGGGTTGGTCACAATAATAAATCCTCTCATTCAATCATATTTTAGGCCAGAGATAAAAGCAACTTTAGTTTTAATTGCCAATAAAATTGGATTAAAGTCAAACAAAATTGGTACTAGTCAAGCCATGGCTGATTGACTTTTGTTTTAGTTGTTACTAATCAGTTTCAGTTATATTTATTAGATATTGTGTCTTCATTATGTTTCTGTTGCATTATCTTTTATGTATTTAAACATGTTTTTGTTAAAATAACATAACATAAAATTATTATTAATGAGATCATTTTGATGACCTGCATAATGGCCGTAACTCGAAAAATTAAAGTCGGAATTAGCTCAAACTTTCTACACAGCATAAGGACACCAATATGTATCAGAAAATGTAATAAAAATTTGGAGTGATTTTTTGGCCATTTTTTGGAAAAAACCATGGACAGCCCTGGGTATTTTTCAGAATTTTGGCGTTTTCTTAAAATGGCCGTAACTTGAAAAATTGAAGTCAGAATCAGCTCAAACTTTCTACATAGCATAAGGACATCAATATGTATCAGAATATCTAATAAAAATTTGGGGTCATTTCGGAGCCATTTTTTGGAAAAAACCATGGACTATAGCCTTGGGTATTTTTAAGATTTTTGGCGTTTTCTTAAAATGACCGTAACTTGAAAAATTGAAGTCGGAATCACCTCAAACTTTTTACACAGCATAAAGACATCAATATGTATCAGAAAATGTAATAAAAACTTGTAGTGATTTTTGGCCATTTTTTTGAAAAAACCATGGACTATAGCCTTGGGTATTTTTCAGAATTTTGGCGTTTTCTTAAAATGGCCATAACTTGAAAAATTGCAGTTGGAATCACCGCAAACTTTCTACACAGCATAAGGACATCAATATGTATCAGAAAATGTAATAAAAACTTGGAGTGATTTTTTGGCCATTTTTTGGAAAAAACCATGGACTATTATAGCCTTGGGTATTTTTCAGAATTTTGGCGTTTTCTTAAAATGGCCGTGACTTGAAAAATTGCAGTCGGAATCAGCTCAAACTTTCTACACAGCATAAGAACATCAATATGTATCAGAAAATGTAATAAAAATTTGAGGTAATTTTAAGGCCATTTTTTGGAAAAAACCATGGGCTATAGCCTTGGGTATTTTTCAGATTTTTGGCATTTTCTTAAAATGGCCGTAACTTAAAAAATAAAAGTCAGAATCAGCTCAAATTTTCTACATAGCATAAGGACATCAATATGCATCAGAAAATGTAATAAAAATTTGGGGTGATTTTGGAACCATTTTTTTTAACATGGGCCATAGTACAGGGTATTTTAGAATTTTGGAAAAATGTTTTAAAATGGCCATAACTAGAAAAAATTTAAGTTTAAATCAGCTCAAACTTTTTACACAGCATATAATGAAATCAATATGTGTCAGAAAATGTAATCAAAATTTAGGTTGATTTTTGAGCCATTTTTTAAAAAAGACTATGGATATTTTTCAAAAAATTGGCTTATACTGTAAAACTCATTATTGATGTCAGAATTGGTTCAAAATTTCTACATAGCATAAGGACATCAATGTGCATCAGAAAGTGTAATGAAAAAGTCTTTAGAACCATGTTCAACATAAGTAATGCAATCTGGGTCATATGAATGTAAAAATTAGTTGGGCCTATAATAGAGGATATGTGTGCTAAGTATATTTGTTGCAAATTAAATGCATTCATTGCATACTGCAATAACTTTCAAGAAAAAAAGTTAATTTGTTGGACGTCAGTTTTCCATTGGTAGCAATGGAGAAATGATAGAAAAATGCTTGGTACCAGGAAATCACTCTGTATTTCTTAATAGCAATCTTTCAGGTGACTACTAGACCCCATTAGATCCTCAGGATGCTTTTTAAGCTTCCGAAAAATGCCTCAAGAGGGTAGCAAGGCACAAAAAATGTGTTTTGCCCCATTGAACTCTTAATAAACTTGATGTCCAACATGGCGGCCAATTTATTGTGTGGGTTGGATATATGGTACTTAAAAGTTATGAATATACTTGGTACACATATCCTCTATTAATACTGCAGAGAACCTGGCTTTTACCAAGTGGAAAAGCTCTTTGCAATGATCAGCTGCTCTAATGTTAAATTACTTTAAAGGATAGAACACAGATAACCATGATAACCAGTTATCTGACAGTACATCTTCTAAATGATCCCCCCTATAACTGGCCACACATGTTACTTCCTTTTTCAAACTTGATTAATGGAAATCTTGGTCTTTTTGCCCAATTTAAAACCTTACTGCTCCATTATAACCCAGAATGACTTGTTTTTCCTTAAAGCAAAGCTAGAACTGCTTCTGTTGCTTGCCTGCAATCTTTGTCTGTACGAAGGTACATATACTAAGTGATATTTTAGCTCATGAGGTTATTGCAAGGTTCTGACATAATGCTTCAACTTGCCAACAAGCTTTTTCATCACCAATTATTGATTAATGTGTTTGCATTAAATGTAGGATTTACTCTAGTTCAAAATGACTACTATGACTCTATCAAATTTATTGTATCAAATTCTGTTGTCATTTTCGTAGATTAGTGATCAGTGTTTACTTAGGGTATGTCCTTATTTAGACTCTTTGGGCGAAGCCCACTGATGTGAAGTGTTTCTGTATGTATGTACGTACATCTGGGCGTGACTGGAAGGCGTGACCAGAGGGCAAAGCCCCTTAATGCTTTACATTCTTTCTAGTATGGTAGTGTAGCCAATATTTTTGTGCCATGATTGCAATGTGTGTGTTAAACTGTGACAAACCTGCTTCCCCTTGTTATACACTACACTAATGGACTGCCCCTTTTCCTTTGTGTATAAATATGCTCCAGGTACTTGGGAATGCTTCCATTATTATTGTAGTGATAATAAAAATTTACTCTCTTCGTCTATTGAGTATAATACTTGATATGTCATTCAACTCTACAGACTTTGTTCTAACTGGAGATATCAACAGTACTACTTATGCAGCAGTTCTTGGTATTGAAGGAGTCATTGGTATGATAGTTAATGTAGCAGTGTTATTAATGACACTGTATCAAAGGAAATCCTGGAATCAATCATCAACAATATTCTTCACTTCTCTCCTACTGTCTAACCTCATTATTGCTCTGTGGTATTTCATGTCTTCTATTGCAGTAGGAGCTGAAGAATGGATCTTTGGAAACACTTTTGAGCAAAAGAATGCAACTTGTTTATTCATTGCTTATCTGTTTTGGAACTGTTCAATGAATTCTATGATGACATTAGCTGCTATATCTTTTGATCGGTTTCTGTTTATTGTCAAGCCTTATCTTCACAAGCGGTTCATGAGACCACGAGTAGCTCTGATCCTGATTATTGGTGTGTGGTTGCTGTGTTCACTAATAAATACTACACCATTCTGTGGTTTTGGTGTATATCGTTATTATTCTCCTGGTGGAATTTGTTCAACAAGTTATGAAACCTCAGGCTTCTTTTATCTCTTATTTCTTGTGGTAGTATATTCAATTATTTATTTTATTATTGCTTTTACGTCCATTTGGACATTTTGTTTCACTCGTAGGTTCATGCAGAACCAGGCTGAATTAGTTGACAGTAGCGTATATCAATCTAGAAGGAAGAGGCTGTTTGGTATATTTGGATATATGCTTCTCTCCTATATCATAGCCATATTAATTTCCTATATTACTGGTATTATTAATATGTTCTATTACTTACCATCGTATGTTAGTCTTGGTGTCGTTGTTGTTTATGGATCTTTTATAATATCAAATCCTATCATTCAATCATATTTTAGGCCAGAGATAGTTATTATCATCAAACAGTGGTGGAATAAAATTAAACGTTCCTCAAGGAATCAGGACAGAGATCTTAATTATAGTTAACTATTATTTGTTTTGATGCAGTCTATTTATAAGTTTGAAACATTAACTAATTTTTAGTCTTGTAATTAACTAGATCTATGTATTTTGCAGTAGTTGTCATATTTTCCTCAAATGCTAATCAGTGTGTTTTATGTATGCGTTAAACTAAGAAAGACAGGCTTCCACTCTGTTGATTCTCAAAACAAATCAACAGGAACTATCTTTTGTATATCTAGTCTAATAGTATCTCTGCTCAAGTTTATAGTGTTCATTTCTTATTGATTGACATTATGTCCTTCAACCATAGATTTTATAACTATGTAACATGGATTAAAAACTTGTCATGTGATTCCATTCAAATCATTGTAAGTGGGCGTGGACAGACTTTGTAATCAATTACTAATCATCTTTGTCCTAATCTCCTTCAGCCGTTTCGCTAAAATGGCCAAGAGAACTGCCTGATTACATGTAGCTGGAAGCAAGCTCCAAAGCAATTATACAGCTTAAACTGTTACTGGAGGTTTACGCCATCATTTGAAATTGTTAAAACTGTGGTGTGATGCTTTGTTTTGATGTAAAATGAGAAAAAGTGTGCTTTTTCACCTTGCGTGATAATCGTGAAATCTATTCAACCTATAACTTGATTGGAGTAACTAAAACTAAACAAGTTATAGTATGAGAATATCCATCAAACAAAGCTGCATGAGGATAGGACAGTTACATTACCATGAGCGATTAGCACAAGCCATGAACTGCCAAAATGTCCATTTTCAGAGGCCTATCTATTCAACCTATATCTTTAGATAGAATTTGAATTAAGGAAAAAGGATTAGACTTCAAAACACTTCAGAGTCTTTGACATGAGGATAGGGTATTAACCAAGCCATAGGCCATACAGTGAAAAAAATAATAGCTGTATTCATTAATTTGTACCATCACAAAGGCAATTTTAATGATAGCAAGTGGCCGCAAGGGGTGAAGATTCTGTCAGCAAAACTATGTTTAAGTGTCACAAAGAACAGTCATGAACTCTCAAGACCTACTGTATAGCGCTTTAATTTCGAGGAGCAAAACTTTCGCTGTTTTTGTGGGCTGGCATGCAAACGCAAAATTAAAGATTCGATAATTATTTAATTGCCATTAAAGGCGTGGCATTAATATTGTGAATCCGCAAAACTTTTTTCTGCAAAAAATTGATTTTTATCAGTCAGCGAAATTTTAGCTCCACAAAATTAAAGTGCTATACGATATCTGCTCATCATCAATAGTAAATAAAACACAAATTAACATAGTTGGAGACTTGGAGAAGAGCTTGTGTAGTCCTTCCATTACTTTTCCACCATTACAGAGTCTGTCCATGTGACGTCATCAGTTTCCAATCCATGTTACGTAGTTATAAAATTTATAGTTCAAATCTTCAGACTTTGTTCTAACTGGAGGTATTGAAGGAGTTGAAAATTAATTACTAATTTTGCTATCAAGTTCTCTAGGAAAATTTAATGATTGCCCAATGATTTTCCGACAAAGATTTGTATTTTTACTAATTTTTTTTAATTGCTAGAAAATCAAGTCAAAAGTCCCTGTGACTTGGTCAAATTTTGTCATAAATGAAAAGGGGAGAATTCTTCATTTATATAAGTGTTTCTTATACATATACATGTAGTGTAGAAAGCTTG